TTGTTTACATAGTTTTTATTAATTTTTATTTAAGTTTTAGTTATTTTAGTACATCATTTTTAAACTAAATGAAATTGAAAACTGTTACCTTGAAAACTAGCTGAAATAAAATTTTAAATATATATATATATATATATATATATATATATAGATTTAAAGGCTGAAATGTTATAATTTTATTTTAAAAAATGGTCAAAAACTTTATTTCAACATGTAGTATACTGTATGTCACTAGACAACAGGGAGAGAGGGCAGGCGTCCAGGAGCTGTGGCAGGTAACGGACAGGTGAATAGGGCGGTGCTTGCAGGTTAGGACACCTCCCGTGCGGCCGCTCCCTGGCCTTTCAGGGAGCCAGGGAGGCGCCGGCCGTTAGGGAGGCCATGGTGGTGCCGGCCCTTCGGGAGGCCATGGAGGTGCCGGGCATGCGGAAGACCCTGGGGCGAGCTTTGGATGGTGCTCTGAAGGAGCAGACACTGTAGGGTGCTCTGGAGGAGCAGACACTGGAGGGCACTCTGGAGGAGCGGACACTAGAGGGTGCTCTGGAGCGGATGACCACCTGAATACAGGAGTTGAGGTTAGGGATTTACTATCCATAGGAGGAGGAACGGCTCTCCAGGCTGGGACGGGAAAACTCCTCTTGATTACAGAGGGAACGGCACTCCTGGCCGTGACTAGGGAACTTAATCCGACTGAAGAAGGAACAGCACTCCTGGCCATGATAGGGCGGCTGATTCTTACAGCGATGGCAATGGCACTCCTGGCCGTGATAGGGTAGCTGATTCTTACAGCGAGGTGAATGGCTCTCCTGGCCGCGGCAAAGACATTTAATCTGACTGAAGAGAGAACGGCACTACAGGCTGTGTGTCTAGGACTCAGATCATTGGCAGGAGCCTTTACTGGACTCTGGTCTGGGGCTGAAGCCAACTCTGGATTCTGATCGAGGGCTTAAATGTGCTCTGGATTCTGGTCAAAGGCTGGGACCTGTACTGGATTCTGGTCGAAGGCTGGAGCCTGCACTGGACTCTGGACTGGGGCTGGAGCCTGCACTGGACACTGGTCTGGGGCTGGAGCCTGCACTGGACACTGGACTGGGGCTGGAGCCTGCACTGGACTCTGGTCTGGGGCTGGAGCCTGCACTGGACTCTGGTCTGGGGCTGGAGCCTGCACTGGACTCTGGTCTGGGGCTGGAGCCTGCACTGGACTCTGGTCTGGGGCTGGAGCCTGCACTGGATTCTGGTCTGGGGCTGGAGCCTGCACTGGACTCTAGTCTGGGGCTGGAGCCTGCACTGGACTCTGGTCAGGAACAGATACCCTCTCTGAGCAAAACTCGGGAACAGGGGCCCTCTCTGGGCTAGACTCGGGGATAAAAGCCCTCTCTGGGCCAAACTTGGGAACAGAAGCCCTCTCTGGGCCTAATTCGGGAACAAAAGCCTTCTCTGGGCTAAACATGAAAACAGGAACCCTCTCTGGGGTATACTCGGGAACAGGGGCCTTCTCTGGGCTAGACTCGGGGATAGGGTTGGGTATCGTTTTTTTTTTTTCCGATACCGGTGCCAAATCGATACTTTTAAAATGGTTCTGGTGCCTAAACGGTGCCTGAACCGAAACGTATGGATAGAAGCCCTCTCTGGGCTAAACACGGAAACAGGAGCCCTCTCTGGGCTAGACTCGGGGATAGAAGCACTCTCTGAGCTAAACTCGGGAACATAAGCCTTCTCTCGACTCTGGTCGGGTCGCTTATTGTCACGTGTTGCTGTTGCGGGTGGCTAGGACAAAAACTACATGGAAAAGATACTTTTTATCGCATCTCGTCGCATCTGGTTGGGAAACACGGTGTTACAGTTTGATCCCACCCCCCCAAAAAAAAATCTAAGTATAAAAATATTAATGTTGACAGACCTAATAATTGAATCTGCAATTAGGGAAAGTGGAGAGAAGAGATCCAGTCTGGAGATGAGCAGGAACAGTTGATTTGCATGGCAGACATGGAGATCCAGATTTTTTTGTTTGTTCATTTGTTTTTTATTATTCAACAGGCAAAGTTATTCTGTATCTAAATGCAAAAATTTTCATAATTGTTTGAATAAAACAGACTACTGGGGAAAAAATCTGAACATTTATTTTGTGACCATCTTGTGACTATTTTAACAAAATCAACAATAATATAATAATTGTAAATATATACAGTATATATATATATATATAGAGAGAGAGAGAGAGAGAGAGAGAGATTAGTGGCCCTTGGCTTGGTATTGTTGGCAGAATTCGGCCCTCGGCGAAAACTAATTGAGGAACCCTGATATACAATATAATTACTGAAGTTGTGATCGATGGTTAATTGCAATATGATAGAGTTTACTTTTACCACAGTTTGCTATAGGAGAATGGCATACTATAGCAAAAGTTTGCGTAGCCACTGTCTTTTAAAAAGAAACATTTACGATTTTCTATAAGGTAAACAAAATAATTTGAGAATGTGTATAATTTATTAAAACATTTTTTTTACATAGTCATGTATTAAATTCCCATTATATTGTATGCCGTTTATACCACGGAAAAAAAATGGTAAAAGCAACTTTTTACCTCACAATTATCATTTTATTTCAATCCGAGGTTTATATCTTGCAATATTGAGTTAACATCTCTAATTCAGTTTTTCCCCCTTACAAGTTTATATTTATGAGTTTCTGGCATTTTTTCCCCTCACAATTTCAGATTTCAGATTTTTTTTTCTCAGAATTGTGAGGTAACAGTCTAGAAAGGCCATTATTATTAATAATAATAATTAGCTATTAAAAATAATTTTAATGAATCATCCGTCAATTTACAATCTTTAATAAAAGGCCTAAATGGCAGTGTCAGTCAGAATTATTGCATGTTATTCTCAGTTTACGTTGTTAAGATTTAACCAACTGAAAGACTCACATATATCAGCTGCAGGGGTCCACTGAATCGTCTGGGTGAAACTCCAAACATGTATTTGAGTTGAGAGGTGATCACGTGAGTGGCCGCACCTGTCGTGTAGCCCCGCACTAAGGGCTCCGAGAGATACGTCACTACGAACCCGAACCGAACCAGACCCAACAGAACCTACAGAAACACTTACTTCATCAGCAAAACCTCTTTTAAACAAAACAAACAAACAAACAAACAAACGGAAACTTTACAGGTCCAAGGTGCTTGTTGGCTTTATTATTTTGTTTAGTTTGTTTAGTTTGCACTGGTTTGAAAATATGTTTGTTTGTTTTTGATTCTTGCCTTTGTTTGTTTATTCTTTTATTTTCTTGTGTAGCCTCTTTATTTGATTGTTTTTCACATTCCTTAAAGTATTTTGCCCCACATTTAGCATGCATTATTGTTTGGTTTGTTTTTTTACTTGTTTGTTCATTCTTTTGTATTTTCTTGTTTGTTTCCAGATTCTTTCATGTGTTGTTTTGCAAGACTCACCTGAAATATGCCGCACAATAAGGTTGTTGCTGCAGCCACTTTCACTCGCTGAACATCTCGCGCCTCCGTGTCCATGACGACTGATCCATTTGTCCCATTGGTCAGAAAGTGATCGTCAGGAGCCAATCGCTCTGAGACGCTCCCGATCATTATGCTAATCACTGCAAAGGTTCCTGGAACATTTAAGGAACGCAAATCAGTTTTCATACTGTGTAGGCTATGTATGACAATGACATTATACATGATAATGCAGGTAAAAAATATTGCATACTGGTACAAAATATATTTTGTTTAAATATATTACAGGAAACCTTGTGCATGATTTATAAGCTTGTTTCCTCATGGGGACCTCAAAAATGTCCCCACAAGGTCAAAATTTACTAGTATTACTATCCTTGTGGGGGACATTTGGTCCCCATAACGTGATAAATACCAGGTACACACACACACACACACACACACACACACTCACTTATAATGTATCCCTTTGACTTCCCATTCACATCGGCTGTTATAATTTATTTAAAACATTGTTTAGACCGATTATCAGCTTTTTTGGGGTGGACATTCCGGCAATTGGGTTTTGGCTTTTTTTTTGAGAATTTTTCCCTATGTGTATTTCCTTTGTAACTTGCACTTGTAAACCAACCCTGAGGCAGATGCATGATTCCCACGCTGACACCTGAAACCAGGTCACCAAGTCCGTTCTCCCGAACAGAATACTGGGGGATCCAGGAGAGAAGCGGTATCCACTTTAGAATCCAAATCTTCCACTGTCCCACAGAGCACCTTGAGCAGGCAGTGAAAGAATAAAGAGCTTTATAGAATGTGTTTATAGAATAGAACTTAATTTTAAAGCATCCTTGACATTACTGCCTGACTGCAACGATATCCACAAGACTAGAACAGCAAACACTAAATTTTAGCTAATGAGATGCCAAGCTCTTTTGTTTACAGTAGGCTATGCGTCCCTAAAAACATTAAGAAAGAGCTGTACTGTAATAAAGGATACACTGAAAAAAAATGGTAACCAGAAAAAGGTTACTTTTATTCAAGTGTGAAATATAATTTAACATCACTATAAGTACATGATATATATACCAACAAAAAACTGGGTTAAATCAGGAAGAAATAGCTTTTTAAAGGTAACGATTGCTGGTTGCCATTTTACAGTGTATGAAATGACAACAAAATTACATGCTCTTCATAGTTTTCAAGCAATCATACATGTAAACAGTTATGTTGCTTTCAAAATGGTTATGCAAGCTCACATTTTACAACATCCCTAGTATAAACAAGACTTTTTGAACTTGTATGTGTATATTGTTCATTTAAAAAAAAAATCTTAATTAATAATTTGTTAGTAACACCAAGATCATGGGTTTGATTCTCATTATGCACTCATACAGTGTATACATACAATCCAATGTAAGTTGCTTTGAATAATCTGCTAGGTGCATGCCAGTATTTACCCATATTGCAACTGTTTGCAGTAGAACCAAATTTAGACAGATTTTGTCACACTGTCTTTGCATCTTACCTTACAGAGTCACAGATCTTCTCCTTTATAGAGGACCGCTGGATTTCAGTCTGCCGTTGGGCTACTTCATCTAGTTTAAGTTCATCCAGAATGATCCTCTCCACACAGACTGTTGCTCCGGCATGATCAGATACACCCATGTCTGTCCTGTTCATGTTCATATATGCTCCTCTCTGCTTAGGTTGAGGGGTTTCAGCAAACCACCTTAAACCCCTCCCAGGGGTTCACGTATGGATTGAGACTTTTTTTTCACCCTAAGTATATGTCTTTGAAGATTCTCCTTTTCACTGAGAGTAATGTTCAAGAGTTTTCAAGCAGAGATGACAGACATGATGGAAGGAATCATCTATAGGTGCAGCCAAAGGCAGATTTCAATGTGCAGTTATGAGTGCAAACCAGAAATGTCCACATGAGAAAAGTTATTGGGTCCTTATCAGAGTCTTCACAGGTCAATCCCACACCACACCCACAGCATGCAGTCCCATAAACATGAGCGTGCCAAATGGATCACGCATCTGTAAATGAACTCGTGACACTTCACTGACTCAGAAACACACTGGCAAAAAGAGTGTTTTTCTTTCCTTTTTTTTATCACTTTGCTGACTTAAAACTTTTTGTCCAAAGCACATTTTGGACAATATCTGGACAATCTGTGCTAGACCAGGAATGTTGTTCAGAATAATGACAGTTTCAGTCTTTGTTATGCTGATAAGCTGCTAAGTGATACATTTCACAGTGAACACGAAAGGCTGTCTTTTACCCAAGTGAAAGCCTATGCTATAATTAATAACACTGTCTGGTGTGCTTTACATTTTGTCATCTGTTAGTTGACTTTTAGTAGTTTTATTTGCCAAGATGACCTCCACTAACATATTTTAAGAGTTGTGTTGTATGAACTTATGTATCAGTCAACAGCCAATGAGTATGGAACCAATTCACCAGACATGGTTATGTAAATATACTTGATATTATTTTGGAAAAACATTCGCTGAATCTGACAGATGAATGGTAGAATTCCAAAATGTTGTCTGGTTTTAGTTCTACTCATTTTTGAGTCCATTTAATAAAAATTACAAAATGCATTTAACATGTAGCCTACCATCCTTTTGAGACAACATACCTCTACAGCAAGGCAGAATTTCACATTATAAAGTAGTGTTTCTCAACGGGGGCCGTAGTAGGCCAGTGTAGTAGTGTTATTATTACACCAATACACCAGTAGTGTTATTATTACACCAATACACCAGTAGTGTTATTATTACACCAATACTACCGCTTCTAGACTATCATTTCCATAGCAACGACTCTTTTTTTGTGTTCGCTCGGCTTTTGTTGCGCAGCTGCTGAACTTCCCGTGAAACCAATATGCATTTAGACACAAAGCATGAGATGCTTTTTTCTTGTTTCACGAGCTCACCCTTACATATAATCTGATTGAGCAAATAGTAAGCATATTTTGGTGTGCTGTCCTGGGGGAGGGCTCCGAGCCCGGAATATAGCCCGAACCCAGAGAGCTCCCCCTATCCTTAGTATGGGATGAGAATAGATTACCCCCGCCAGATTCCTACCCCCCTAGTATTGGTAGGTTTAGGGTTAGGTGTGGGGGAGGGGTTAGGGTTAGGGTTGGGGTTAGATTAGGTTTAAGCAATCAGGTAGCGATTTCAACGAGAGGGGGTAATAATTTGGCAGGGGTCGAAAATGGGCACAACACCAGAAAACTGTTGTAGGATAGAGGTAATTAGTCTGTGTATATATATGCACTGTGCTAGTTAGGATGATTAGCCAAACGGGTTACACCTGTGCCAAATTGGTTGATTATCTGATCGTGCTCCTCCCGAACCTTTTTAAAATGAATATAAATGCTTTTTGTTTGCTGATTGACACATTTCTAAAGAGTTTATTCAACGCTCAAAAATATAGACTAATTTATATTCATGTGGCTTTTTTTTTCTCCTTGGGAAACTTATGATAATATTTCAAGTCCAGTCAATTTCTCCTCTATGCCCCGCCTTTCTGAAACGCATTGATTTTTACGAAGCTCATCGGTCTGAAAAGCGAGGTGTGCTCTGATTGGCCAGCTATCCAGTGCCTTGTGATTGGCCGAATACCTCAAGCGTGTGACGGAAATGTTACGCCCCTTACCATACTGTGATGATGCCCTGTCAGGCCGGAGCGATGATTCAAAAACATGAAAACCCATTATAAACAAGGCATTTGTTGCATCCAGTGGGGACATAATTATGGATTATAATGACTTATACTGTCTTTTTACGTGTTGCGTTGCATCGCGCCGCGTAAACATAAAACCATGTCTGCATTTGTGATCGGAGAAATGACAAACAACAAGCCCTACTCTACACTGCCCAAAAAACTCTTTAAATATAAAAAACGTACTTACAATCTGTGAGTCAGAACAGCCGGCATTGTAGTCTAGTCCAGTCCTCCATAAAATATGCTGCACACATCTGAATATTTGGGTTGAGTGTGTGTGTGAACTGGTGACTGCAGTTTATATGGCTTCAACATCCATGATTTGCTGTTCAGAGATGGCGTTATTTGTAATGGATGTTTTCTGTAAGGTAGGATTGGAGTCAGCAGTCCCATCCTGGCACTGATGCGCGTCATCGCTGATAATTGACAGCTCGACTCCGCCCCTCACACTCGCGTCATCATGTGGTGAATCCCATCAGCGATGCCGGGCTCCGCAGGAAAAGAGCACAGCCAGAAGATGCTCGAGACTTTCAGAAGAGCATGTTAGTCTCTTTCCTGACATTTTATCCCAGTAAATATCAGAAAAACTCATCTTAAGTCGCCGTTCTAAACAGTGTCTCCTCCAGCACGCTTCACAGGTGAGCTGCTCCTCTCCTCGGCGCGATGGACTGCACACACACACCGGAGGAGCGAGCAGAGGTGAAGAAGCACCAGCACAAACACAGCCTCAAGCGCCGCTTCCAAGTGCTGGAGACGCTGGGCAGAGGCGCGTACGGTAAAGTCAAGCGAGCGGTGGAGAGGCGGTGTGGAAAGACGGTGAGCGACTTCAGCTGCTCTTATATCTGCACTTGCATTGCAGTTGTGCTGCTTTGAATGATGACAAAAAATGCTTAGACATATATATATAAATAAATAAATACTAAAATTAGTCATTTGTATAATGTCATCAGCACCATAAGCAACCAATAGGCCTATATAGTTTGTCTTCATAATATTGTTGAAATGTTAAAAAAAAACAAGTGATAGTCCAACTGAAAAAAGTGTGAAAATGCAGAATATCAGCGTCTGTCTGTCTGTCTGTCTGTCTATCTATCTATCTATCTATCTATCTTTATAAATGTAATTTTTACATCTGGTTTTTATTTATAAATCAGTTCACTGTTATAAGAAGGTCTTCATTTGAGGAAATTTCATCTTAATAATAAATGATATCAGTATACTATATACATTATATTATATATAATATTAGTTAATAGAAAAACATTTAAGTGTCGATGAAGGAGTACTTGAGCCTTATTTTCTATGACTATTTCTAAAGTATAAATAGTGCATTTCTATAATATTATAGTGAATATGATAATAATTTGAGTGAAAATGATTATGTAATAAAAATGGACAAGAGTTATGGTGTGGGAAAGGTGTGGGTAAATAATCTAAATGTTTATCTTAGTGTATAATTGTGCTTTTTGTTTTTATTAGTTTTTTTATTTTTAAATATGTCTATATACAATTTTCATTGATATTTATTTCAGTTTATTGATTTTATTCATCAACTTAAACTAAATGAAAATGAGAAATATGGCTTTATATATATATATATATATATATATGTGTGTGTGTGTGTGTGTGTGTGTGTGTAAATATAATTTTATTTTACTTCAGTTAACATTTATTTTAAGCAACATTTATTATTATTATTATTATTATTTAGTTTTAGATAACTATACTAGCACTGGCCTGACTTTTCTCTTTTTCCCCCTTACTGCCAGAGCTCCTAATAATGGCTCAATTTCAATTTATTTAATCAAAACTGTACAAAGGCTTAATTTCTTTTGAGAAGAATATCCAGCATGTTCTCTCTTACCTCTGACAGCGTGTCAGTCAGTCAGCGCGTCTTTACCTAGCAATTCACCTCAGCTAATTATTTTTGGGCTCGTCCAACAGGCGCTTTGTGCGTGTACACGCGTGTCTACTGTATGTAGACCTCATGTTAGCACACTTAATTAAATACTTAACCACTCATTCATCGCTCAGTCTGTCATTCAACAAAAACAAAAGAGACATTCCCCCAAGCCTGCTGTCTGCACTCTTTCACAGCCTGAAAACGTATCGCATTCATGCAAAAAAAATGAAGTAATCTCAGTGTCCAATCAGATTAGAGCAGCAGCTGAGCCTCTCTCTCACTCTGTCACTCATCCGGACTCAGAGGTGAAGTATTCCGGAATCCAGGAGCCTTAAGCATAGCTGGGATTCCTGCAGACAAACACTAAGAGCATTCAGAGGGAGCCGGGCGCTCGCTGCATGTGTGACAGGGGAGCGAGGCGTCTCTCCAGATCTCCAGATTGGGGTCAGAGTTGCTTGGCAGTTTCCCAGATGGCACTGCCAGTGCCGCCAGCAGGTTTTAGATGGTGTTTTTGGGGGTGATTCAATTTCGATATCCCTTTAGCTTTACTTTATTTATATCAGGAAATTCTGTTTGCTGATGATATTAGCAAAGAAATGACACAGTTTAACTTTAAGCCACATCGTGATTTCAGTTAATGAATTTCAAGGAATTTTGGAATCGTAAAAATCTAATGGGTTACAATGGAGCTTTGTGTTTGCTGGTCCAAACCCACTGCATGCAACAAAACACGTACAGACCCCAATATGTGCCAGATACTAAGCAATACCTTAGTGGCAAAAGTCAAAGATAAACACAAGTCACTTTTGTTATATAGAACAGTTAAAAAATGGGGATAAAATATTTGTTCTGTAGTCTGAATTATATTCATATTAGTTGGATGCTGGAATTCTGAACCTTTTAAAGTGATTAAATAATTGAATTATTTACTGTTGTTAGATTACTGTACTTATTTATACTGTTTAGACATCTACAGTATATGCTATAGGTCAGTGACAGAAAAATGTTCAAGATGGTGAAAAGTAGAAATATTTTAAAACTGTAGTAAGAAATGCACTATTTGTATTCGTATTGGTTTCATATATTTTTGAAAAAAATAAATACATCTGAAAGCGGTATAACTGCCCAATAAAAAGTGCTAAAATACTTTACTTTCTCATTAATCATTCATTTAAAACCTTTTTTCTTGTTAAAAACAAAATAAATATCATGAACTTTCAAATCACGAATAAATTTTTTTATATTCAGTTTTATTATGGTTATTCCATGTTGTTAATTCCTTTTTTAAACAAGTCTAAATAGTTTTAAACCTGCTGATTTGGGGCTTTCTTGTGACAAATAAAAACTGCTTATTTAAAAAAAATATACATTAATAAAAGACTGTTAACATTGTAAAGCCTTTTAATGAGACCGGTCAGTTAAGCCATATAAATATTTCCGAATACAAGCCACACAAAAACTATCAATATGAATTGTATGAGAAATTTAAAACAGAACATGGCAGAAAAGGTTTATTCAAGTCTGTATTAATTGCATTGAGTAAATTCATTAATCATTGACCCATATACTAACAGGCAGGCATTCGTATTTGGTTCAGTGGTGTGTTTGTTTATAATGTGTCTGTTTGTGTGCTTCAGGTGGCTATTAAATCTATTAGAAAGGAGAGATTGAGGGATGATCTGGATAGAGCTCACATCCAGAGAGAAATCGAGATCAGTGCCTCTCTTGTGCACCCACATATCATCCGCCTGTATGAGGGTAAATCACATCAACAGTCTCACAACATCCGTGTGTGTGTGTCCAGAGAGATCTTTCCGTGAATGAAATGTGTTGTGTTTTCAGTGTTTGAGAGCAGAGAGCGGATTGTGATGGTGATGGAGTACGCGAGCGGAGGAGAGCTGTATGACTACATTCAGGACAAACAGAGACTGTCAGAGGAGGAGGCCAGACACTTCTTCAGACAGATCACCTCTGCTGTGCAGTACTGCCATAAAGTAAATGAACACTATTATCTTTTTTAAAATCTCACGCCATTCATTCTGTATATGAGCCGTTTTCTTGAAAAGGCATTCAACCACAAAATGCTGTTAAATGTATCAAATGTTATTTTGCTTGGTCAACATTTTACCAGCTTGATTGTACCTGAATGTAACATCTTTTAATATACACCATTCTAATTATATTTGTAAATGTATTTATATAATGTTTTTAATTTACTTTTAACAAATGGACCACAAAACCAGTCATAAGGGTCAATTTTTTGAAATTGAGATTTATGCATCATCTGAAAGCTGAGTAAATAAGCTTTCCATTGATGTATGGTTTGTTAGGACAATATCTGGCCGAGATACAACTATTTGAAAATCTGGAATCTGAGGGAGCAAAAAAAATCAAAATACTGAGAAAATCGCCTTTAAAGTTGTCCAAATGAAGTTCTTAGCAATGCATATTACTAATTTATGTTTTAATATATTTATACAGTTGGAAATTTACAAAATGTCTTCATGGAACATGATCTTTACTTAATATCCTAATGATTTTTGGCATAAAAGAAAAATCGATAATTTTGACCCATACAATGTTTTTTTGGCTATTGCTACAAACCTGTGCTACTTATGACTGGTTTTGAGGTCCAGGGTCACAAATATGCTATTAGTATTATTTATTCCCACCTTCATTTCTCCTAAATACCCCCTTTCTGTTTATTATTGCATCCATCACGTAGAAAGCAGTGCTGTCTATAAGAAATGTTTGACAATCTGAGTAATATTACAAACCTGAATAAAGGTCTGTTCACACCAAGCATGATAACTGTAACAATAAATATGAAAGTTTAATAATCATCCTAATTCTGTGAGGATAGTGACATCCAAATGACAACTACTGTATAATGATAATCAATAATAATATAATTGGAATCACTTTCAGAGTAATTCTTCCAGCTGATGAACACTAAAATCACTGACAGCCAATCAGAATCCACAAACTTTAAAGAGCTGGAGTATTTAAAGCGGCAGCGCTTGATTATGATAAACAGGACAATATTGTGTGTTGGTGTGAACATTCATACAATTATCTGTATAGTTATCGCTCTTGGTGTGAACAGGCTTTAACACTACAAATACAGCAAACAAACTTCAGCAGTTAAAAAATAGCATTATAATTCAGTATTTCTATCTATAGTCTATTTTTATTGAGTCTCTTGTTCTAAATATAAAATCTCTTGATATTCCTCAGAATGGTGTGGTTCATCGTGACCTCAAACTGGAGAATATACTTCTGGACAAAGACTTAAATGTGAAGGTAAACAATTCAAACTCAAACTGACTGATAGAGAACGCTCCGGTTACTATCGTAACCTTGGTTCCCTGAGAGCGGGA